ATTTTAACAAATGTGCTGAAATAGCCATGACATACAATATAAATGTTGTCTAAAATCAGTTTCTGTAGACTCTTCAGCTTACCTAACACTGTTCATTCTGCATTTTGACATGCCATTAATTAGGTGGCAAGGATGTCCTAATTAATTTCATGTCAAAATGCATACAATGAACATTATTAGGTAAGCTGAAGAGTCTCCAGAAACTGATTTTGGACACCATTTATATTGTTGCCCACATATTACTGAATGTATCAAACTACCAAAGATTGAGTAAACCATTGACTGACTAGACATGATGATTTGCTGGACTGACACATTCATCAACCCAACTATCATCGTCATGACCAGTGATGTCGTCAAGGTATCTCACAGTAGATATTCAGAACACATACATTCAATTAGTAATGTTTGTTTGCAAAAACAGTGAATGGTGGTGTGCAAAAGTGTAGAGGTTTATTATTACCAACTGCAGCATTCTGTCACACCAGAATGATATTTTTAAGATATAATGGTTTTAGTATAATCATTAAAGAACATTGCGGAAAAGCCCCTTGTCCTAACTAACGATTAGTCTAGCCTGGAGGAAGATTTATGTCAGATGTCACGGCTGATACTATTGATGACTGTTTGACAGAACATCACTTTAGAAGATCAGACTATCCCTTTAAAGTTTGCCACTGACATGATCAGGATAAAGTAAATCAGACCAAGAAAATTGCTTCATATGTGTTTGTGTTTAGAGGATACTATATGTGTGCATGCGCAGAACCACTTCTGAAGGGCTCTGGTTCCTGTCTACACAGCTCCAAGGCAATTTTTTTTAATCTGTACTTTGGAAAGTGTTTTTTTTTTATTTTATTTTTTTATTATATATGTATATATATATATATATATTGTTTTTTTTTTCTTACAAAATAACATAGTGTGTGAATGGTAACTTAGAAAGTGTCTGTGTTGAAAAATGTTGAACTGGTGGAGACTGCCATGCTTTATTTTATTATTAATCAAAATAACTAATTTCTAATGGGGAAAAAAAAATCACAATTAGGTAGTAAAACACACAAATAGGTACATTTATGGCAGAAAGCTTTGCTGACGTTTTATACATCACTATGACATTTTTGTCTTGTAGCTGGTGTTACCTAGAATGTAAGACATTTTTGCAAAGCTGTAAATTAGACTTTGCTTTTTCATTGAGAACTGACGCAGTGGGCTTTTGAATGAGAACCGGTACTCGAGGAGTTGGGAGTGAGAATAGGAAGTTGTAGATTGTGATTGATCTGGCATTGAAAATACCTTCTTTTTTGTTGTTGTTGTTGTCGTTATGAAAATGACAATATAAAACATGAATGAAGGATTCATATTAGCTCTCAAAGTTTTTCTTAGGTAGCGGTGTTGATGCTTCACAAGCATTTATAATTACCCTAAATTTTGAAACTCAACTCTGCTGCATTAAATATCACATTTGTAGTTTTGAGTGTTGGACTGGCAAACAAAATTATTTAGTTCTAAACATGTTTGATGTAATTTGCTTGATTGTGTTCCACAAGACTTTGTAATAAATGTAGATGAAGGAAAAGGGTTTGTTTGTGTGTTTAAAAATGAAAAATCAGCTCTAGGCCTGTCGAAATAAACAATAAATCAAGTAATCGCATGATAAATGAAAATTATCGACCTCATTTTCATTTATCGGCTTTATCGTTTCTTTGTGTCTCTTTGTACTGAAGACACTGGATGACAAAAGGCTCAACTCCGGTGTCTTTCACTGACCCCTCCCTTTCTCTTTTCTCTTTAAAATCCATTTTAACCGTCCAAAATCACATTTTTGGATTGTTAAAAGCAGCTAAGCTGAGAAGCTAAGCTACGAGCTAAGCCAACAGGCCGACCTCGGGAAAAAAACCTCTGTCATGTCGAAGCTCCAAAATTCACAGTTGAAACTCATGCTTTTGTGGAAAAAGGTTTTCTCTGCAAAAAGAAGCTGAGAACTTGTTTACTGATTTTTTTATTAAAAGCTTTGTATAGCACGGTGGTGCAACTGTTAGAGCTGCTGCCTCTCAGTGAGCAGGTCCCTGGTTCAAATCCCGGTCCGGGGGCCTTTCTGGGTGGAGTTTGCATGTTCTCTTTGTGCATGCGTGGGTTTTCTCTGGGTACTCAGGTTTCCTCCCACAGACCAAAAACATGCATGTTAGTGTTAAGATATTTTTGGACTGGTCCTATGGTTTTGATCTGCTCAGAGACGGGATTATGCTAGCCATCAGCTCTGGCATCTTATTTGACCTGAGGCTGCCAGGTCACACGCTATAGCCTGTAGGCATCTCCCGTCAACATATAAGAAGTAATGTACATTCAACCAGAGGAAAGTGATTAATTGCTTGCTTATCTGGTGGTATTGAACTCAGAGTTTATTCGAGGGAACCCCTTTGGGGTCCCTCGACCATGGGGAGTTGTTAAGATATTTTTGGACTGGTCCTATGGTTTTGATCTGCTCAGAGATGGGATTATAATGAAAATATGACCCGGTTCTGACTGGGTTAAACTGGGCCAGCAGCTCTAAGAGAGTCTCTCTGGGATTTCAATATCAGTCAAAGAACAAAGTTTAATCTGCTTGCCACATCATGATGAAAGGCTTTTGAAGCACCATCTATTTCCTAACACATCAGAACCACATAAGATCCATTGAGATCACACTTAGTCACGCCCCCTCATACATGGACAAGTTGAGCTCCACTTCTGCGAAGGAGGAGTCCAGGACCATATAAATGAGTAATGACACGGGACATCGGGGTCCTTCTGGGTTTGTGAACGCGTCATGGACCAGAGAGACCAGCGCTGTAAAAATGTAACCTTTTCCTGCCTTTTTTAAATATAATTGATAAAACTTAATTGACATTTCCTTGATTTATTGATAATGAGAGTTGTCAATTCTGAGGGAGATTTGAGCCAGGGGAAAAGACGTGAGCTGGAGGTGGTTTCCGGGGCCGGTGGCCCACAGCAAGCTCCTGTCTTTAACATTAGGTTGATTGGTAACTCTAAATTGATCCTAGGTGTGAGTGAGAGAGTGGATGGTTGTTTGTCTTGTTTGTCTCTATGTGGCCCTGTGATGGACTTGTGACCTGTCTAGGGTGTACCCCGCCCCTCGCACAGTGATTGCTGGACATGGGCACTGGCGACCCCGTGACCCAAAATGGAGAAGAGGGTAAAAGATAATGGATGGATGGATGAAGGTTTGTGTGACAAATGCTATGCTAAAGAGCTCAAACCACACAGAGCCTCCGCCATTTTGAGAACCGCCCATGTCAGCCCATGTCACGTCAAGGGGCCGCCCTCACATTTTTCTTAAAGAGACACGCTGCTCGCTCCCTCACTATCCATCATTCCATTCAAACAGTCTTATACTGCCATCCGGTGGTCGAAAATAGGTACTACACGCAAAACATATTAACAAACATTTCTTCTTAAATTTGACAGTAATTACTAATTATTGTCAAATTTCAAACAATATTATCGTTTATCACAATAATTTCTGAGACAATTAATCGCCAAGCAAAATTTGTTATCATGACAGGCCTAATCAGCTCAAGAAGCTACTCACAAGCAAACTGGACTTTTGCCTTCCTGCTGATGATGGTTCCGAATGCATTGGTCGCAATGCATTGATACATTCCCCCGTGATTGATGAAGTGAGGGTTATTGATCAGCAGGTTCCCCTCTACAAGGCTGTAGTTTGGATCTGAGTCTGTGTCTACATCTCTTCCATCCACCTGCCACCTGTTCAAAACACACAATAGGCTTATTCAGCACAGACTGGATGAATGTCACTTTTTATCATCCGGATAAATTAAAAAACTCTTAAAACTTCAATGTGCTGATGTCTTTACTCTTTCTCTACTTTCCATGTTTGTTTGTGTTTCATCAATGACAACTGGTTCTCAAATATTCAACTGGTAAATTAAAGGTCAAATAAATACAAAAAACTGTAATTATTTCTATAATTAACAAGTTTTCTTAAGCCCCTTATCCACAGGGCCTTTTGGTGCTCCTATGTAACTAGTTCGAGACGACTGCGTAGTGTCTCCATGGTGCTTTCAGCGGTGGAACCCGCACGATTTTTGGGACATACTTCTCTGGGGTCCCAGGTCTGGTTCTTGTTTGGTCCAGATGTGACGTCAGCGCACTGTCGGTCACTGATTGGTCAGGGGGGAGGAGTCACTGGATCTTTCAGAAACTTTTCAAAACACCGATCCGCCATTTGCAATTTCTCGGACCGGAGTAGCAGCTGGACTTATTTTAAAGATTTAAAAACAATAATGACAACACTGTGGCCTAATGCTGAAGTGCTGGTGTTTTTTTTTGTGCTTGCTGGCTGACGACAAAATTCAGAGCGAGCTAGATGGAGCTCCGCCGGTCTACCTGGGTCCTCTCCACCGCAGTGTCAGAGCTGTGCAGGGCGTCATCTCCTCAAGCTAAAATTTATCTGTGGAAGTAAGTAAAAAACGATATTTTCTGTTACATTTTTTTGAGTTGAAAACTGCATAAATGGTGAAAGTCTGTTTTCTTCGAGGGAAGCTAACTGACCGTAGTTAGCATGTAACTTCGTATAGCTTCTCATACTGTTATATATCGCCGGGATATGAATTTTATGTCATAACAAACATCCCAGTCGGATGTTAGATACAGTAGGAATGAGTGACAGACCGACCGTCCGGCAAAAAAAAAAAAAAAAAAAAAAAACGCGACTACT